ACAACATCAATTTAATCCACCAATACAAAAGATGAAGACATAAGCCTTTTTAATTGCTGAGTTGTCAATTTGTCATTCTTCTATCGTAAAACATCTATTGTTTCTCTCTTTCCATATCACCCAATTGCCATAGAGCTTTATGGTCTCCTGAACAGCTAGTCCCTTCCAGCTTCACAAAGCAAGTTTCAAATAACCTGGTATCATGCCACCGGAAATTTAACAAGTTTAGGCATGGCAGATTCTGCTCCACACATGTAGCATCTATTATAAAATGAGAAAACCCTATTTATCAACTCCTCCTGAACAAGTAAAGCTCATTATCAGCAGCCCAACAAGAACGGCTACTCAGTAAACATTCCCCCCCCCTCCCCCAACAAACACGAGATCTGTGTATCCAATTGCATCATAGAATTGAGTTCATGTATCGCAGGAATTGGAAACTCACTTTGTGCTGTATTTTGGGAGTAGCAATGCCTGATTGAACTTTAGAAGTAAAGATATCAGTTTGCCGGCTCAATAATATGAAAAACAGTAGGGAGAAAATTAAATCACGACACTGTAGTAATTGCATTCAAAGCCATCACGTGAGTATATTTTTATGCTGCAAGTTTATTGTCGTGTCCTTTCGCTTTTATCTTGATTTTTGTGCATAATTGAAAAGATGAGGAAATATGATTTAGACTCCGGTAAATAAATTTAGCCCGTAAAAAGCATGCCTTTGTTGTTCAAGAGAAATAACAAGGGAGAGGAAAGATCATTGCCTTTTTTATTTCTTTACAACAACAACAGCAATAACAACAACAATCCAGTATAATCCCACAAGCGGGGTTTGAGGAGGGTAGTGTGTACGCAGACCTTACCCTTACCCTGGGGGCTGGGGGTAGAGAGGCTGTTTTCGATAGACCCTCGGCTCAAGAAGATACCTATATTTTCTGCACCGGAGTTCCAATTAATTCTTGTATCTGGATTGTTGGTGCATAGATACCTATATTTTCTACACCCAAGGGTGTGGCCTAGTGGTCAATGACGTGGGTGCAAACCTTGGAGATCAGGTTCAATTCCCAACAGAGTCATCTGGCTAAGTTTTGGTGGGCATACTTGCTCAATAACTGTTTTGGTGGAGGTAATATGTACCTAGTGGAATAGTCGAGGTGAGTGCGAGCTGGCCCGAACACCAATTTCATTTTTAGGGTAGAAAATGGGAAGGTAATGAGGAAAAGATTGTGATGAGATTGACCTTTGAATTGATTCTGTCTGTTACCTATTCTCCTTTCTAGATTTTCTATGTTTCTTGATTACATGCAAGACCTTGGTTTCATTTGTAATTATTATATTTCTTTCTAGGTTTCAATCTTCTTCAGTTTCTTTCCGGTTTTGCTTTCAATCTCGCTTTACTGCTTTTTGACATGTTTAAAATATCCAATGAGTTTGGAATTCCTAGAAATGTTTGTCACTGCATGATTTAAGTTTCTTTTCACAGCTAAAGGATAAGAAGAAAAAAAAGGTTTCTCTTCACAGTATTTGCAGCATAAAATGAGACTAGAATTCTGTGGGATTGATGTTTCTGGAGTGGAGCCTTGACCTTTGTTTGACCTATTACCGCGTGCAGGTTCGAGTGCAAGCCATTCGTGGACTTCCTCTTTTTTGCAAGGACACACCCGAGCATCTTTCGAAAATTGTTGACATACTTGTACAACTCCTGACTGCTGGTATAGAAATCTCTTAGTCTTTCCATCAAGAATTGTTGATTATGAGAAAAAAGATATGTGATCTTGACTTCTCTATCTTTCTATTCTTCCAGAGGAAAATGTGGAACGTGATGCAGTAAACAAAGCCCTTTTGTCCTTGTTAAGGCAAGATGTAAAAGGTATGTTGATTTTTTCCTAGTGACATTGAAACCATGCACCTAGGTACTATCTTTAGATAGGTTCATCTTAAATTGAGTTTAAGAAATTAAATCGCCGAGCTGATCAAACTGCTTTAGTTTTTTTGCTTTATGCTATTTCATGTTTCCAAGTACCATTCTTTTAGCACAAAGGTAGAACAATCAATACATTAAAGCCTGGTCAAGACCAAATGATGCCACGAAACTATGGATGTTGTATTTGGTATCCCTGATTCTTGTATAGTGCCTTGTTGGTATATAAGGTATAGGCATATTATCTTCATATTACCCAATAAAATGCTAAAACCTTCAGAGTTTGTTGTGGGAAGAAAATGGACCTTGAGCTTAGCTCTACATTGAACGCAATTGTATGAGTTCAGGATTGTCTAAAACCATATCAGGAGACAAACAACGCACTCCTCAACATCCTAAACACCCCTGCAAGCCCATGGTTAGACATCTGGAGCTCGGAGAATATAACATGGGGGCCCAACATTGTCTAAACAGAATGAATCTGGCTCTGATACTATTTGAAGAAAATGCTTGGACCTAATCTAACCCCAAAAGTTTGTTCATGAGGTGAGATTGCCATAGACCATATAAGAAGACAAACAAACCATCTCTCAACCAATGTGGTCACTTAACATGTTGCATTTGCTGCATTTTATAAATCAACAAATGTATTGCACATTATATTTTGCTCTAGATGCACCTTCAGCAAGCATGCTCTTTGGATCAATACCTGGGAAGCTGTATACCATTGTTGCAGCTTGTTATATCCCTTGATTGGGCTACTAGTGCGAGGGTTTTACAGCCATAGGTGTGACATATTACAATGCATCTTTTTATTACACTTATCTGACTTGGGAATTAAATTGATCAAATCCTTTTAGAAAATCTGTTCTTGTCCAAATTTAAATTAGCTATATATAAGAGCTTGAGCGATAGCTATGTGGATGTATTGCCTACAGACAAATATTTATACTTCAGTATGACACTGCTGAAGCCGGAAGATGTGGTGTACATTTGGCTTTTTAGAAGCAGGACGAGAAGATGCTTGCGTGAGATGTACTTATGTGGTATTTTGAGAGAGAGGAATAAGAGAGGGATGAAGGACTAGAGAACAAAGTGGGAGCTGGATAGTTTTTGTCAGTTACTTCAACAATTAAATTTATGCTCAGTGGATCAGAACAAAGTAGATTGGTTAATTTGGTTTAACAGCAAGGACAAATTGTTCACAGTGAATAATTGTTGTAAAATGATGTTACAGCAAAATAGTCAGGGAATTCCAAGCTGGGAAGATGATTTGGAGAAGTAAAGTACCCGTGAAAGCAGTTTTTTTGGGTTCGCTAGCAGCTAGAGATGCTTGTCTAACGCAAAATAAGTTGCAGGGAAGAGGCTTCTCTTTAAGCAGTAGATGTGTTGTTAAGTAGTTAGTCATGTATAGTGTCCCACAACGGGAAAGAGATACCTATTATTATTATGTAATCACGGTATATAAATAGGGTTGTACAACACTTTAATTAAGAAAAATTAATAATATTTTTCTCCCGTGCTTTCACACATGGTATCAGAGCAATCTTATCGCCGTGCATAAATTCCAGCGACTCCGGGAAGAGAAATCAGTCAATCGGAAGTCTTTTCCGGCAAACACAGGTCTGCCGCAACTAAAATCCACTTTTCGTCAGAGTTGTGCAAAAACCAACACCACCAAGAAGTAGATCGGCCTCCGGCGACCAACCCATAAAAAAATCTCAGTCAGAAAACCCTCCACGCGCTCCCACGCGCCGCTGGAAAAAAAATTCTAGTGAAGTTCTGACGTCACGCGCCGGCGCGTGGGGCACCTTCTGGCCATTTTTTTGGTGACGACTCTTCATGACAGCTTGTTCCCCTTGCAATTCCGAGCCTACCCATCCAATTTAAATCAAATTCCGACCACTTTTATATTTTTCCAACGTGAATAGTGATTTTTCCGGCGTGAACAGTAATTTTCAGAAAAAATCTGTTTTTTCCGGTGCAACATTATAATGGCATTCGTATCTGAAGCCTTTAACTCACAATCTGTTAGATCCAATGCATTGAATCCAATCCAGATTGTTTCTTTACCAGATTATATTGAGTTCTTTCAGTACAAAACATGTAAACAGACATATTCAGGGATAGCTTCTGTTGTTCAAACAGATAGTAGTGTGACTTGTGTCTCCCAATCTTCAACTTTTGAGTCTTGGGTCATTGATTCAGGTGCATCTGATCATATTTCTGGTAACATATCTCTTTTCACTAGTATTTCGTATTCTCAATCTCTTTCAACAGTCACAATGGCCAATGAGACTCAAACCATGGCAACTGCAATAGGTCAAGCAAGCCCACTTCCTTCCTTACCTTTAGATTCATTTCTTTATGTTCCCAATAGTCCTTTTAATTTCATAGCCGTTAGTTGCTTAGCCAAATCACTTATATGCACTGTTTTACTTCTTGATGACCTTGTTTTTATACAGGAACGCAGTACGGGGCGGATCATTGGTACCGGGCGTGAATCAGATGAACTTTATTGCCTTATCCTTGCAAAATCACATGGACTCACATCTTGTCTTCCTTCAATAACTTGTCTTGTTACCGATTCACCAGATTTTGTTACATAAACGGTTGGGACATCCCAGTTTGTCAAAACTTCTGAAAATGGTACCTGGTTTATCTCACTTGTCCACTCTAGAGTGTGAGTCATGTCAGTTCGGTAAGCATACCCGCTCCCATTTCCCTCGGCGTCTTGATAATCGAGCAGAGTCACCTTTCATTTTAGTCCATTCAGATGTAGATGTATGGGGTCCTAGTCGGGTCAGTTCTACCTTGGGATTCCGCTACTTTATCAGTTCATTGATGATTATTCCATGTGCGCTTGGATATTTTTGATGAAAAATCGGTCTGAGTTGTTTTCTATTTTCCAGACCTTCCACGCTGAAATTCAAAATCAATTTGGGGTTTCTATCCGCACATTTCGTAGTGATAATGCCCTAGAGTATTTGTCTTCCCCATTTAGCAGTTTATGAACTCTCATGGGATTATTCATCAAACATCTTGTTCGTACACATCTCAACAAAATGGAGTAGCTAAAAAAAAAGAATAAACATCTTATTGAAACTGCTCGTATCCTACTCATACAATCTCATGTTCCGTTGCATTTTTGGGGGATGCTGTTTTTATATCTTGCTATCTTATTAATCGTATGCCATCTTCAGCTATACAGAATCAAGTTCCATTCTCCGTCCTGTTTTCCCACTTACCTTTGTTCTCTCTTCCACCCCGTGTCTTTGGAAGCACATGTTTTGTTCATAACCTTACTCCAGGAAAATAAGTTAGCTCCTCATGCTTTTAAGTGCGTATTTGTGGGTTACTCGAGAACGCAAAAGGGGTATTGATGCTATTCTCTTGTCCTCCAGGGGTACCTTATGTCCACTGATGTTACTTTCTTTGAAACCCAATCATACTACCCAGGTCCAGGTAATCACTTAGATATTTCTGAGGTGCTACCAGTTTCATCTTTTGGAGATTCGGTCACTATCTCCCATTCATCTTCCTCTACAACTCTAGCTCCACCACCTACAGCTCCAGTTGCAGTTCAACCACCTACAACTCCAGTTGCGGCTCCACTACCTATAGCTCCAGATGCAGCTCCACCACCTATAGCTCCAGTTTCACCACCTATAGCTTCAGTTCCACCACCTAGTCCAGTTCAATCTTCTGCAGCTCTGCCACCCTTGACTTATCATCGTTGTTCACGTCCTGTATCAAATTCTGCACCTACTGTGGACTTGTCTCCTCTTAGTCAACCAATTGCACTCCGCAAAGGTGTACGATCCACACTTAATCCTAATCCCCATTATGTCGGTTTAAGTTATCATCGTCTGTCATCACCTCATTATGCTTTTATATCATCTTTGTCCACTGTTTCTATCCCCAAGTCTACAGGCGAGGCACTATCTCATCCAGGATGGCGACAGGCTATGATTGAAGAGATGTCTGCTTTACATGCGAGTGGCACTTGGGAGCTCGTTCCTCTTCCTTCAGGTAAGTCTAATGTCGGTTGTCGTTGGGTTTATGCAGTCAAAGTTGGCCCGGATGGCCAGGTTGATCGGTTTAAGGCTCGTCTTGTTGCAAAAGGATACACTCAGATTTCTGGGCTTGATTATAGTGACACTTTCTCTCCCGTGGCTAAAGTAGCATCTGTCCGTCTTTTTTTGTCCATTGATGTTGTACGTCATTGGCCTCTTTATCAGTTAGACATTAAGAATGCTTTTCTCCACGGTGACCTTGAGTAAGAAGTTTATATGGAGCAACCACCTGGTCTTGTTGCTCAGGGGGAGTCTAGTGGTCTTGTATGCCGATTGCGTAGGTCACTGTATGGTTTGAAATAGTCCCTTCGAGCTTGGTTTGGTAAGTTCAGCACAGTTATTCAGGAGTTCGGCATGACTCGTAGTGAAGCTGATCACTCTGTGTTTTATCGGCATTCTGCTCCTAATCTGTGTGTTTATCCGGTGGTTTATGTTGATGATATTGTTATTACTGGCAATGATCAGGATGGTATTACTAATCTGAAGCAGCACCTCTTTCAGCACTTCCAGACTAAGGATTTGGGAGATTGAAGTATTTTCTAGGATTGAGGTCGCGTAGTCTAGCTCAGGTATTGTTATTTCACAGCGGACATATGCCTTAGACATTCTTGAGGAGACTGGAATGATGAGTTGCAGACCTGTTGACACTCCTATAGATCCGAATGCTAAGCTTCTGCCTGGACAGGGGAGCCTTTTAGAGATCCTACAAGATATAGGAGGTTGGTTGGCAAATTGAATTACCTCACAAGGACTAGACCTGGCATTTCATTTCCGGTAAGTGTTGTTAGTCAGTTTATGGATTCTCCCTGTGATAGTCACTGGGATGCAGTTGTTCGCATTCTTCGGTATATAAAGTCAACTCCAGGCAAAGGGTTACTATTCGAGGATCGAGGCCACGAGCAGATTGTTGGGTACACTGATGCTGATTGGGCAGGATCACCTTCTGATAGACGTTCTACGTCTGGATATTGTGTTCTAGTAGGAGGTAATTTGGTCTCTTGGAAGAGCAAGAAACAGAATGTAGTTGCTCGGTCTAGCGCCGAAGCCGAATATCGGGCCATGGCTATGGCAACGTGTGAGCTAGTTTGGGTCAAGCAGTTGCTCAAGGAGTTGAATTTCGGAGAAATCAGCAAGATGGAACTGGTGTGTGATAATCAAGCTGCTCTTCATATTGCGTCAAATCCGGTGTTCCATGGGAGGACTAAACACATTGAGATCGACTCACTTTGTCAAAGAAAAGATACTCTCAGGAGATATTATTACAAAGTTTGTGAGATCGAATAATCATCTAGCAGATATTTTCACCAAGACTCTTATTGGTTCTCGTATTAGTTACATCTGTAACAAGCTCGGTACATATGATTTATATGCACCGGCTTGAGGGGGAGTGTTAAGTAGTTAGTCATGTATAGTGTCCCACATCGGGAAGTAGATACCTATTATTATGTAATCACTGTACATAAATAGGGTTGTACAACACTTTAATTAAGAAAAATTAATAATATTTTTCTCCCGTGCTTTCTCACAGTTATCTTAGTAATTCAGAGGAGGAAACAGTGGAGCACCTTTTCTTACACTGCAGAGTCTCAAGACCATGCTGGGAACATTTTCTAAGCATTATGGGCATATCTTTGGTAATGCCACAGAAGATCGGTAACTTGTTGGAAATCTGGCAATCACAGGGAGTCAAGAGAAGTTTAAAGCAAATATGGAGGACCATTCCGATTTGTATTCTATGGACCATATGGTTGGAAAGGAACTAGGCCTTCTTTGAAGGAAAGAGGCTACAGATTCCCAGAGTTAAAAACGAATGCATTAAAAAGTTGTACTTCTGGTGTTATAGTAGTACTATAGATAGGATGGATCAGTATTTGGAGTTTTTGCACTTCTTAGGGGACAATATGGAGTATGAACTAAGCAAGAGCTGCAGCTACCTTGTACTTTTCTTCTGTGCCATCTTGGTACCAGTTTTAATAATATCTTTACTTATAAAAAAAAACAAATTTTTACCTTGCCATTATTAAGAAAAGGGCTGGAAATGAATTTGTACCACAGAGGGCTTGTCTTTTGTTTTAAGTGAATCTTGGTGCACCCACGAGGTCCCTGCTAGTGTAGAATGATTGGATGTCTAAGTCGTACATTTTCTTATACTACCACTTCTATATTGGGGATTCCCCCCAACACCAATAAAATTGTTACTTTATTAAAAAATATGAGACTGTCTCTAGTTGGGATCATTTGTAAAAGCAGATGGGTTATAGATCCTGTTCGAATGCTAAGGATACCAACATTTTCAAACACAAAAACTAAAAAAGAAGCATTGAATTTTTTGGAACTTTTAGCACAAAGCGAAAATAAAGCACATGCTTTAAGAAAGAAAGGTGCAAATGAAGTGAACAAAAAAATACATGTAATCCATAACAAATAATAAGAAAGGTAAAGATTATTAATGAGTACCAAGAAGGTGCCGAAATAGTACGACCGAGAAGAAATTTTCCAGGAAGACAAAAGGTCTAGCCTAATACAGGAATATTGACAGTAAACACACAACAATTATTTGGACGAAAATTGGAAAACCAAATTTTGGTGAAATTTGTGTAGTGCTGCCTTCTTCAAAACATTGCCCATGGGTAACGAGACGTAAGCCTTAGTGGCTTGGTGCCTGAAATAATCACTGTCTAAGTGAGGCAAAGCGCTCTACCTGTGTTGCACCTAGCTTCAGGGCTTAAGCTCACTTCAAACAAGCCTTTGATAGCACCATAGGGTATTATGCAGTTGTTTTGCTCTCTATTTAGCATTATCTTATCTCCAAAATTGTCTAGTCAAAAAAGGGCAAACCAAGAAAACTAAGAGATCATCTTTTATGAATTTAAAAGGCAAGGCATGGATTTCATGATATGTTTGTGTGAGCTGTTGTAATATTGCTTAGATGAGAGTGATTGTTTAGCCAATGCTACAACTCTAATTCTAGTTACCGCGGTGTGTTCCTTAATTAGACAAAAGTGGTATTGGAAACTTCACATATCAATTTATTCTACCAGTCTGTAACCTATATCTTCATGAAAATATTTGGACATTGGATGCGAACTTTTTGACTGGTTATTTCTTTCTTCTGAAGCAGAAGAAGAAAACCCAAAGTAAGGAAGAAATTAACCACAATCAAGCCAAAAAATTCTAACACATACATACATAAGCGCGCGCTCGCACACACACACACATATCATGAATGCTTCTCCTTCACGAGGTTGTACGGTATTCAACCCATAGTCCATTATGCATACCTGAAATCAGAGATTGAAGAGAGGTTGGAGCAGCATATAGTCATTATTCTCTCCTGCTGCTTCGTAGTTGATTTTGGAGACACATTGATGGGGTAGAGGGAGAAAGAGAGGAGGACAGGGGCACAGCTAAGAAGGGAGAAAAATGCCTGAAGAGTTAGCAAGGTTAACTGATAAGCAATGCAAGAGAGGATGCTCTGCAGTAGAACTAGCTTGTGCTTGCTATGAAAACTTTCAATCCGTCTGTATCGTTTTGCCTTCTGCTCTATTAATTCATTTTCCTTTTCTCTTTTCTTGATGCTTTAACTGCGTAAAATTTTCTGATAGAATTGCTGCTCTGTTGTTAAGGCAATTAACTTGCTTTCTTTCCCTGTAGCTTCATTGACAGCTCTTTTTAAACACATTGAGACTGTTGATGAGCAGATGTCTGATGATAATCTCCGTGAAAGGACATTAGTTTTTATAAAAGACAAGGTAATAAGGTCAATATTTTTTCTGTGGAAGAATGCCCATTTTGCAAGTCTTATGTATTCAAGTTGGCTGCATCACGTTGTTGCAGGTATTTCCTCTAAAAGCTGAGCTCCTCAAGCCTCCAGAACAAATGGAAAGGCACATTACCGATCTGATTAAAAAGGTAATTACATATTCTACTCCTGTTCTTTCTGTCCTGTAGGGAGTGATGAGGAGATTGTTCAGTAATTTTTACGTGCATCCCTTCAGAAGCTTTGCTTCTTCTACTGTCCGCAAGTTCCTGTGGTATCTTGTAGAGAAATTCTACATGCAATGTGATTGTTCTCACCTAGAATACGGGGATTATTGTGATACCAGTGAAGAACATTGCCTAGATAATAAATGCTGTATGTTCTAGATGATTAGAACGCAAGAAAATTAATTTTGTTGAGAAAGGTAACAGTGAGAATGCAAGAAGATTAATTGCATCCCATTGCAGAGTCTACAAGATGTGACAGGAGCAGAATTTAAGATGTTCATGGATTTTCTGAAAAGTTTGAGCATATTTGGGGATAAAGCTCCTGCAGAGCGTGTGCAAGAACTGATTGAGATCATTGCAGGACAAGCTGATCTAGATGCACAATTCAATGTGAGTGTTCGTTCCATTTAGAATGTTGTAGAGATTTCTGGTTTCCTGTTCTTCTCAGTCAAAAAGCTCTCACTAGGGTGGTTGGTTGGTTGTTTTAGTTACTGATGTTTTTGCCTTAGTTACTGAAAGTATTGGTTATTTGAATCTCTAGAACCAACAGTTGGATGCTCAAAACTTTTCACTTCGTTTAGTTGGTTTCTATTTTAGCAATTTCACTCCAAGGTGAAAACGTTTACAATCTTGGGTTGAAACTATAAATTCAACACATTGGAGAAGATCCATCCCGGAAATCACACATCAATTCAACCGAACTAGTTCAAATTTTCCAAAAGTATTAGAGCTAAAAACAAATTGATTGAAAACTTTAATTAATAAAACTGATCTAAACCTAAATACATGAAAATTGCTTCAATGTTAATTTTAATCAGTATTATCAAATGCTAAAATGCGCTGAGGTCTGTTGGGGCTTTATGAGCAAAACGCAAATAAAGCATGGGCTTTAATGAAAAAGGTGGAAAAGAAGAAAAAAGTGTATATGCATGTGTAATAATTTAAAGCACCAATAACAGTTATATGGAAAA